TTTGTCTGTTTTTTGATCTTCTTGAGACAAGGTCTCACTATGCAGTTCAGGCTGGCCTTGAGCTCACTTTGTAGCCCAGACTGGCCTCAAACTCGCAACGATCCTCCTGCCTCAGCCTCCCGAGTGCTGGGATTACAGGCAGGCACCAGCACGCCTGGCATCATTTCATGTTATTTCACACTTCCACCCTTAAATATGTCTTCACATGCATGGTTGATCTTCGTATCCTGTTAGGCTCACTCACACTCTGGTCACCTGGCTGGCCACTAGTGACTTCATACTGGTTCTTTGCTGGGGTGACAGAGATAAGTAGACCTTATGCCTCTCATTATGAAGTAGGCAAGTCCAAGTTTGTTTTGTATGTATCAGAGTTCTCAAGAGCAGTGAGTGCAAACTCCAATACATACGGATTGCTCAAGTCTCAGTTGGTTTCACTTTTGCTCTTCTCTTTAACCAAAGGCAGTCACACGGCCAAGACGAGGTCAATGTGCGAAGGAACCACAAAGCCTGTGGATCCCAAGGGGCCACACAACTTAACCTTCCAAGTCTCACCTTTTCCTTAGTAACTCCATATACTCATTCATTTTTCATACTTTGGAAATATCCACTGCAAGTAAAGTCCTAGGCCAGGCACTTTGAAAAGGCAAATAATCTTTCAGCACCTGTACCTTATACTCTAAAACAACCAATCAACAACTAGCATATTGAGGGGCTGGGGATTTAGCTCAGTGCCACAGCGCCTGCCTGGCAAGCGCAAGGTCATGAGTTCGATTCCCGGTACTGGAAAAAAAATTTAAAAAGACTGGTACATTTAATAAGAGTTTGACCAAGATGTTCAGAGGTCCCAAGAGGTAGGGTGAGCCTCTCCACTGTTCTCCATTTCTGCAGAAATTGCTACGTGGTCATTCAGGATTACCTACTGACAAACAGCTTCTTCCCACATCAGAATAATCAAAACCCAAAAACAGAGAAGCAAAGTTTAAAATATTCTCGTGTATACTTTAAAAATATACACATAACTGAAAAATTACCGTATTTCTTCAGGAATTTGTAAGTTCAAGCATGAAATTGTGCGTAACAGCATTTCCACTAAGCATCTAAATGTCAAATGTGGGTTGCAAGAGCAGTTAACGTTTTCATCCTCAATCCCCAAGTCATTTACTTGTTCACAGGAGTAAACAGCTGCTTGTAACTTCAAGCTCATACTTGCAAAATTACATAGACTAAAAGTCCAAATGAAAATCTTTTCAGAAATAAGTATGTAAGATCCTATATTCAGTGTATTTTTTTCTAGGATTGGGAAGATTGCATTGAGAGTCCAGTCTTTCATAAAGAGGGGGGTGGGGAGGAGAGTTGGGCCTTCATTTTCTCACAAAAGGCACAAATGCGAAGCGCATCTGTGAACATTGCATAATTTGTTATGTTCTACAAAGAGGTGGGTTTTTGTTATACACATACCAGAGCTATGTGGTACTGTTTCACCAATGATCTCTATTCAGGTCCAGAAAAGAAACTGGCCTCAGAAGAGTGAAAGGAGGGTAAATTTTTCTTTAAAAATTAGATACAGATTATCACTTCAAAATGCAGGAGGGATTTTTACAAGTGACGGTGTGCTGATTAGCTTTCCAATGGACATCCAGTCCTTTATAAAACACATACTAGCTGTGGTCAACTGTGACCAATGTGGTTTATTACTCTCCAGAAGAGTTGAACTGAGATTACCCATCTAATGTAATTGAGAAATGTTGGGTGAACTTGAACTGTTTCATGGACATGAATGACCAGAAAATTTATTTGATGAGACATTAAAGGCTGAATATGGTAACTATCTCTTTGATGGTTTGGTACAGTCAATTCTTTAGTTCATTTGCATGTCTTTCATTTTTTTCTGTTACTACCCTTATGTGAATAAGTTAAATAGGAAAAAGAAAAACAAGTTTCTGTATAATATCACAAAATTCAGCAACCTGGTTTTATTGGTAAATATTCACCACAGTTTTTATGTACTTAACTCTTTCAAAAGAGACATTAGTTTTTTTAAGTAAAAGAAGTTAACAGTAACTAAATTGTGAAGAAATGTAGTTTTTATGTGCAGCCCCAAATTATTTTTAGAATGTTATCTTCTGACTTTACTAATTAAGAAAAATAGTATCATGATATTGACATATTATTCACCAAACAGCCTCCTATTCACATATCCTGGTAAACTGGGCAGCATGAAATCTCATTGGTGGCATCTCAGGGAAGCATTGATTGTAACTTTGCCAACAGTGTGCCATACAAGGTGGCATCAGATGACACTGATTTCTCTTCATTTGTGTCTGCTAATATTTTAGATTCTGTTCTATTCCTAATGGTCTGTGCCAAGGTGTAAACTAAATATATGCATGTATGGGTGTATCTTTTTTTACTCTAGAGTATGTAGATATTGCATCTTTGAAATTATTCACAGAAGCTCTGAGAATAAATTACAAAAATCACACTTCATGCTACTAGTGACTCTTTAAATGGAATTTTTCATTGAAACTTTGTCATTAAAACAGAAAGGCCTTTTGGTTGTGCCCATACAAGCATAATAAATGGTGTATGTTTGTGATACTGAAAGACTCTTGCCCATATGCTACACTGCAAAGCTACATGAATGAGGCATTTACCAAATCAGGCCCACCACATTAAACAGAAAAACAATCTTTATTCATGGTAACTTATCAGTTTCAATTAATCAACCTTAACAATGGAAATTCTGATGTGTTCAAGCAACTTGAAAGCAATAGGTCATCTCCAGGGCAGCCATGTTGTGTCTTTGTGCCTATGGGTTCAAACAAAGCAGCATCTCCAATAAATATACATACATATACATACATACATGTGCATATATATACATACAAATAGCCGGCTCCAGCTATGCCTTGTAGTATCAACGAAAATGCATGTGAATTGTATATGATTTGATCATCGCAAGTGTGATTATTTTCCTTCAAGTATTACTTTTTGAGCTCTGCAAGTTTCAACAAAAGGAAAGAAATTTCCATTGGATGACCATCCTTTCAGTTTCTGTGCTGCTATGTGAATGGCATTGTGCAAACCATTCCAATGGTTTTGAAAAGGGGTAACCATTGGTTTGATTTGGTTACACGGTTTAGTAAAGAGCTCCCTCCCACTGCCTTAGGGTATGTGAAAGGTCTGTGACCTGTTTAGAACTGCCAAGTGAAATGTCATGTCGCCCCTCCCAAATGGGAGTATCTGCATTCATTTGATCAGTATAAAAAATGATTGGGGATGGTGAGATCAGTGCTTTTGAATTGCAATTTATAGCAGTTTACAAAAATGCACATTGTTGGAAAAGAAAACATGGAAGTGTTTCTTTCCAAATTGCATTACCTGTGAAATGTCATTAGTCTTTGAAGGATATTTACATCCTTTTTTTTATTAATTGGGAGACTTTCTTCAACTAAAGAAAATAGGAATTTTATTTCGTTATGTTTTCTATACTTGTATTTTGGTGTTTTAGTAGTATCGGAGAAGTTACAGACAGCAATGTGTCTGCATTCCTAGGATACATATAATTTTCTTATCATGTCCATTTACTAATTCTCTAAGATATCTTTGCTAGTGAGCAGCATTAATAGAAAGTCTCCAATTACCTCTCAGAGATCATAGGATGATTGACTTGTTGGTAAATGCCTTGTCTGCTGATATCGAGACTGAAATCTTGAGCATTCCTCAAAATTTCTATCATCCCTTTATTCTTTTCCCATTCCCACATAAGATTCGAGCTTTGGTAACTGTGGTACCCATCAACCGTGGGCATACAGATGCATCATATATATGAGGTACAGTTTCACAAGAGGAAATGTCATCTCTTTTCATTAAATGTGTGGAAAAGGCACAAACAAAAAGTTTAGGTAGGCTGCTTAAGCTCATAAACACTTCATGCAGCCACTTGGGGTCTGTGGAGAAGAGAAAACAAGGCCCCTTACACTGTTTCCAGAAATCTGGAAAGGTTCATCTCCCTCTTCATGGTAGGCAAAGAAAGCAACTGGATGTTACTTTGGAGAAATCTTTGAGCAAGAAAAGTTACCTTGGGAAAAGGCCCTCAGGCTTTTCCTGGTTGATCGTTGACTAGAAAAAGAAAGGCCTTTTTTCAGAAGAGACTTGACCCAGATAGACTCCCAAGCACTCCACTTTGAACCTCGCAACTATTGAAAGCCCAAGTTGTCACGTTTTTATCTTTGTTCATGTTAAGCCTTGGAATGACAGCCTGGCTCTGTGTTCCCCTCTCCCACTGCCCGGGCTGTAAGTGTCCACATTGACACCTACCGGTGACCGCAGGCTGCAGCTCTTTGTTGCCTTCTCCACGCTCCTGGCTTTCACTGGGATTAGCTCAGGGCCTTTGTTCCCCTTCAAAGCTGGAACATCACATCCCGTGTTGTGGCTTTCCTGCCTCAGACCCCCAACGCTTTCCTCACAATTTACACACCAGGTAAATCTCCCTCCCGACGGGTACAGAGCCCAGCCTAGGGGCAAGGGGAAGGACATCAGTTTATTCCCCAGTTTCAGAGGCCCTGCCACTTTGGTTTTCTTTCCTTCCTATTTATAATTTTCTATTTCTTATGGAGGGAGGATTGAAACGCAAATAGAAATTTAAAGACAACCTTTTCTACTTTTTAAAAAATTCTCTTACAGTGGCTCCTAATTCTCAGCAGAAGGCCATTCACTGGCCTTGGTCCCATGCACCTAAGAATATTTTTGAACTCTGGGACAGCAGAAAAGCTGTTTCAGAGGAAAACTTGGCTGGCACACACTATGTTGAAGACTAGGGAGGATCTGACAACCTGACCTATCTCCCCTACCAACATGTTACTGAGGAGGCCATCAACTCGGCCAGGCCTGGGAAAATCCATTAAAAAAGAAGATGCAGAGGAGGAGGAGAGTGGGGAGCGTTGGCTGTACAGTAAGTAAAATAAAGTTTATGACTGCTCATCTTTCCTCATTTCCAGCCTTTCACCCGCCTTTGAAGAGGTCATCCATACCGAAGAACGATGCGAAACCACCTAATGAATCAGCACAGAGCATCAGCCAAAGAAAGGTCTCTCTCGCCATCCCCCACATATCCTGGCCTGAGTAAGGTCTGCCTCCCTGGTGAGGGAACTACTATCACCAAGGCATTTCTAAAGGCAATGTACACTATTTGAGCACCACACTCTAAAATTCAGCACGCACCTTTTCCGGGCACCTTTTTAATCCCTAAGGAAACTGCTCACCAGTACTGGGTAATGGTTAAACTGGGTGAGTGGGGCACACAGACCCTGAGGGGTGGTCAAATGCATTCTGGTGCTCCCAGGATCCCGGCTGTACCCGGCACCCAAGGGTGGGAAAGATTGGACTTTCATTAAAAAGTTTAAGGCATTAAGCGTATTGGACTCTCTCTAATTCATCCAAGTCTCTCCTACAAAGTCACACTGACTTGCTGATTCCTCACCTACTCACCTGTTAACTCCCATGAAAGTTAAAAACTTTACATATCCTGTAGGAAGCTCCACTCTTACCTTACATCGGCACAGAGCTCCCAGCGCTACCTTAAAAGTAACAGAGAGTTCTTTAGTGTGTGGAGTGAACTCTTTGGGGTTTTTGCTTCTCAGTAAATCTGAAAAACAAGATCCATATATAGGTACCCTGTCGGGAATGCCAGGTTCCATTTCCTGGAATGCTCTTGCCTTTCTTCCGTGCGTAATGTTCAGCTCACTACTTTCTGTTCCCCCAAGCACAAGTTCAGGCCTGTCGGGTAGGCATGTGTATCAGAATCCTAGGCTCTGGATTACAGATTTCTAAAGCTATTTATTAAGTCTCAAGAAATATATTTGTGGTAGCTGTCACATAAAGCTGACATACTCTGGTCTGAAAGAAAGCTAGAGAGGCGATTTATTTGTGCGTAAAAGAAACAAGATTTAATTGGAGAGAGACCTGTTATTTTGAACGCTAGTACATGGGGTGGCATAGCGCCGTGGAGCATTATTCGAGCTTCATCTACTATGCACTATATGCCACCGTCTCCAAAGGAGTGTTGCCCTAGAAACTTGTTTTAAATCTGCTGCTATATATCAACACCTTGTTTTAGCAGTCCTTGGCTGAATTACAGTTACACAGTTTGGCGCTTCTTTCAAATTTCCTCCCATCAGTTTGGCTAAAGAAAGGAATTTTTCTCCTTTAGAAATGAATTGGCTTAATTAGTAAGTAGATTAATGGCAATTGCTGGTGAGTTGGTTTCCAGCAGAGTTTCACCAGAGAGGGTTAATCGGAGTCAGGTCTGGAATCTTTCCCAGAACTGGCTGCCAGCCATTTGCACCAACCAATCCACCCTACAAGAATCGAAGGAAATCAAATAAAATTTATATTCTCTGTGTCATTATCCTGGACCCAGATTCCTTGGGAGCAGCCTCCTGGTTGGGTGCAGCATGCCCTGTTTCACTTCCGAATTTTAATGGAAACGTTCACCTTCCAGATTTATCTGGGTACCAAAGTAGAATTTCACATGGCACAATGAGTGTCTCCACAGAGACACAGCGCACTGGGACTTCTCAAGCTCTCAGTCAATTTCAGGGTTAGAGAACTTGCAACCCCCTTCCCAAGTCCCGCCTTAAATCTCTTCCACCAGAAGTCTTTCAAAAGTTTTGCTGTATGTTTTGCAGCCTTTTCACTTATTTTTTCCATAGTGATAAAAATGCATTCATAGTTTGACTTGCAGCTGCATTAGTCTTGCAAAAAAAAAAAAAAAAATCCCTGCTGAGAAATGCATATAATAGGAAAAACAGATCGGCTGGACAGCAGTGTAATTAATGCTAGAAAGGGCTGAGGCCGGTTTCATAGTTTGTCTTTTGAGGATATCAAGACGAGACCTGGTGAAAAATGACGCATGCTTTAGCATTTCAGAAAGCTGGCAACTGGCAGCGCTTTTCCTTTTTTCTTTGACTTTCTGCCTCGGAACAAAGAGGTCGCCAGAACTAGCTAGGTTGTAATGAGTTCTATGTCCCTAGCACATTAAGTGCATCATGGAAACATATTGTATCGAAATAGTTTGGAGGAGAATACCGGGGATGAAAGAGAATGGGTGCTTTGATCAGCTCCCTGGGGTCCTGAGCGCGCACAGACTGACTTGCAAGGAGTTATTCAGCTCCAGCTAGACACACTTACAACACCATTCAAAGAAATTTGCATATCTGTAATTTATCACATTGGTCCAGAACATTATTGCAAGGTAAATAAAAGCTGAATTAAAAAAATCAATCATCGCAGATATAGAGGAAACTGTGAGGCCAGTCTTGCCACTAAAAGCAGAAATAAATATGTCCCTAAAACATAGCCATTTAGAAGCTGACTTTATTTTTTAAAGTGTCCTTCGAGCAACAGGTTGTGCTGTGGCACAAAACAAGAGTGAGCCCCAATTTCTTTGCCTTTCTACTTCAGGGCAGTGTATCTGCAGCTTCCCACTGAAATAGAGTTAGAAAGCTGAATGAGATGTGTATGGTTATAATCACTCCATGACACCCACAGGAAAATGAGTACACGCTTCAAGGAGATAGGAAAGCTGCTTTTACTCTCTTTGGATTCTGCCAGTGGTAAGGTTAAATCTCTTTTCCTCTGTTGATTTCACTGGCAAGTCCAGTTTACTGGATTTAGCTCAAAAGTATGAAATGTCCAGAGGCTAGGTCAGCAGGAAAACTTGTTTTGAATACCCCATGAGAACAAGTGAAAATTTAACAGGCAGGCATTGTTCTGAGTTTTTAATCAAGCCAGTTAAAAAGCAAACAAGAATCTTCAACTTGACCTTGGAAAAGGCCGTGCGCCTGCAGATAATATATCAAACAGCTCTGGATGACAATGATATATTTCAAAGTATTGTCAGATGAAAAGATTGATAAATTTGCTGCTGCAAAGAGAGAACTTTGGAAACAGGCAACAGGCGATTTAACTCACCCATTCCGCCGCCTCCTCTGTCCTCCCTGCCCCATCCCCATGCCTCCTCCCCCAGCCGGCCCTGGGGCCAACCCGACAGAAGAGGGCCAGTAAATCAGCACTGTAATATTTCTTAAGGGGCACGGAAAAGCTGTGCACAGTACTTCTCATATTAAACGCAATATTTCTTTGCTTTCGTGGGGAACAAAAGTCATAGCAAGACGTCTTTATGGCTAATTCAGTCAAAGACACATCTCTGGTTCCCCCCGCAGAAAGGTCAGTGTCGTTGTGTCTGGTCCACGGAGGGGGTGTTTTCACACTGAAAACTCAGCCAGCTGTCCCTGTCATACCCTCGCCATTGGGGAGCGCGCACTAGCCATGGTTATTAGGCACATTCTACACCTGCAAAATATACCGATTTCCAAGACTTTTCAAGACGCCCTCTGGTTCTCATGCCCCCTCCCCACTTGTCTACTAAACTCTGACAACACAATTCAAGTCCTGGATGAAAGCGCTGCACGCAAGAGGAACGCCGGGGAGGGGGCAGCTCGGCTACTGTCTCCTGGTGTCTATTGAGAAGCCATCAAAGAAATGAGGCGTCAAGTGCGTTTTCAAAGTATGGCAAAACTTCCAAACACGTAATTCCTTCGAGCAGTCACACATTTGCTACTGCCACAAATGCTAATTGTTGGACCCTAATATTTAATTATATGCACCGGTTTTAGTTGTGGGGTTTCAGCCAAGCATCCTTCATTTTGAAGTGGATCATTTAAAAAAAAATTCTATTTGTATTTCGCGTGTCACTGACAAACTTGGCAAGATTGATTTCTTGGGTCCTCCTAATGCAAATGCAGGTCTATTCTTAAAAATCAAAATGCCAAAGGTTGGTCAACAAGCTATCATAATAAAACCTCTGGAAACATCTCCTAGCTAGACTTACCCCTGGAACTCCGTTCCAAAGGCTTGCAGTCCAGAGGGTGGTGACATGCCGTTTGGAAGATGCTCTGTGACCCAAACATACAGGAGCTAAAAAGGGTCCTATGCAATTGCTGAAGAGAATTCGTAAAATTAGACACTTAAGGAAAAACAGTTTCTTTTAAGAGAATACCCCAGGTGCCAGTTCTTTCAAGACCAGAGGGGAAATATATCAAGCGTTCTCTCTGGGAATTTATATAGGACCTGGCTGGGGGTGAGGGACCGAAGATTCCTATCTGGCTGCGAAGGGGTAGTGGTGGCAAGCAGGGTATTACTGAGCGGGTTTAATTAGCCCCTGGTGTGTCTCTAATCCTGATCTTTATCTAATCCTGCCCAAATACCAAAGAGCCACATGAGAACCCCCTAGAGTGAGCGAGGTTCAGAAGGATCCAGGACGCCTTGGGTTTCTGGGACACAGGCAGGGGTGAAACACGCAGCGTGCCACGCAAGGCGGAGAGGGGGCGCCTCTCACTAGCGGGGCGCCCTAAACTCTTTCCTGGAAGCTGAGTGCCTCCACACAGCCTGCCTCCCGCCAGCAAAGTGCAGGCACCTCTCCAAAGCAATGTCAGCGCAACAGGTTATTTGGAGCAGGTGCTGGACGCTCTAGGGTAGGGTTGGCATTAGGCTGAGGGGATCGGCGAAGGGCCAAGACCTTCTCCGTAGAAGCAGGAGTAGATCTTCAAGGGTCCGAAATTGGGATCAGGTAGAAACTCGCGCCCGCGCCACCATCGCTGCTACCGCTGGCACCTCAGCCCGGAGGCAAAACCAGCTCGCCACAACCTGCGCCCTGGGCCACCGGACCCTCTGCAGGCGGCCGCCCGAGGGCTTCCAGCCGGGTCAGGGGCTTGGCTGTCTCGGGCCTCCTTAGAGGAAGCCTAGGGTCCCAACCCCTGGTCTCCTTCAGGCCGTTCGTCCCCTGTCCTGCTCGCCGCTTTCAGGAGCCCCTCTTGGAGACTTTCATGCGCAAAGATAGCAGAAGTGCGAAGAGCCGGGCGCCAGGCAGCTACTTCCAGCCTCCAGAGACGACAGACAGCCCCCAAACCCCGACTGCCCTGGGAGCAGGGGCCAGGCG